GCATGTGCGGATAGCCCTTTTTCGAGCAGGCGGTTACTAGCCCCCCTGCCTCTACCAAGGCACCTTCCCCGAGTTGCTTTTCTGAGCAACGGGGAGACAGAAGGGACAAAATACTGTCCGGCCGTTTGCGAGCCAATCAAGAGAGTGGCTTTGAAAACCTGCAGCGTAATCGTGCTGTGCGGGAGCGAGTGTCTCTCCCCTATTATGGAGGACGTAGTGGGCAACTTGTATGTATCCTAGAAAATCAGTAAGTCCTACTGGCGGCCCGTATCTGCCACAGCCTTGCAGCCTCTTTACATTGGTAAAGATAAAAATTTTAAAAAATTGGGACTTTTTAAGAACGCCGTGGGATGCGGGACAAATTGTGCAAAATCGTGACTGTCCCACCAAAAGCGGGACATCTGGTCATCTTATACATGTGGTATAGTTAAAATAAACGTCCAAAAGCGTATTTCTTATTCTATGCCTTAAATTTATGTTAAAAATGAAATTGAATGAGACAAGAATGGTAACTTTTCTATATTGCTTAAATGAAGTGTCAAACTGTAATCCTAATTATTAGAACAAAAAGGTTGTGATAAAGTTAAATTATATAGAGATCTGCTTTTTAATAATCTTTCTAAGTACACAACTTTCAAGTTAGTAGTATGTGGGAGGCATATGAGACCAATTTCATAGCTATTAGGAAATCACACCAGGGTATCCGTTTTCTGTTCTCCATTGCTATATGAGAAACTAGTTCCTGTTCTAGGTAGGAATAAATATAGTTTAAAGCAATTGACAGCTTTATTGAAAACAGCCCAGTTAGAATTATATTTATGGATCTATGGTGTGGTTCATCAATGAATCATAACAAAGAAATTAATATAATTATTTAAAATTGAGACTTCCAATTACAACTCTCACTGTATTGAATTTCCATAATGACTTCCTGAAAAATTATACTTAAACTGATTTGTTGGAGAGCTTCAGAAATTCAAAGTGATCTTAGAAACACTCTAGACTGAAGTATGATTAATCTTTATTTTCAATCTGATTTTTTTTTTTACAGAAAACAATATCTAAAAGTACACAACATTGCTATTAACTTTCACTTATCATATATATTTATACAGTAATATGGACATGGGATATCAATTTTAGCAACAAATATAACCCCTTGTTAAAGTAAATCTAACTCCATGTAATCTATATTGTTGAGCTGTTTTTAAGATTTTCCCACTATATGTGAAAAAGGATGTTTTCTAAAGCTAGAAACAGTATAGCAGATTCTCTCTTATTGGTGCTATAAGTTGCTTTGGAAGTCAGCCATTAAAGAATCTATTTCTTTAAACTGTTCTGTTATGCTCTCTATGTATTCTCCAGCCACAAAAGCTTTCCCATCAATTATAATACAGTCTTCTTCAATGCTGATTTCCATTGGTCTTTTTTCTTCGCTAGCTTCTAAACAGCAGTTAAGTACCTAGAGCCAAAAAAGAAAAAAAATACTTAATTCATATTGTGACTAAATTATGTAATTTTGCAACTGTTTTCATGAAAATGAAAAGACACAGTAATTCCCACAATGAAAGAATTATGGTAAAGGTAATGGAGTTAGCATAGATAGTTTCAATTAAAGAATTTATCTAGTTTTGTTTCTAATTGGAAACTGCTTCTGGATTATTTTCTACAAACTGACAGAAAATGAAACTTTTACTTTAGGTTTTGATTATTAGAGTGATTTTGTAATTATAGAAATCATTTAATGTGTGAAATGTAAAGCAACAGGTTGATATATTGTTTTTATAGGACAATCAGAAATCATTAATTTTTTCTTGTCTTTTGGTACTTTTCTCTTTTTTCTTATTTTCATAACTTTTGTTTCTTTTATATTTTTACTTTATAATAAAATTTAATAAAAAGTAGGAAAGATGCAACTCGGTGCACTTGATTCAACAAGACATGGTTCATTTTATTTGTATAGCTAATGATTAGGTTCACATTTCCTGCTAACTTATAAAGTTGTTTATCTAGTGGTGGGATCCTACCGGTTTAACAACCAGTTTGCTGAGCACGCGCTTCATGTGCTGCTTGTGTGTGTGCAGTTTAGAGAAGACTTACCTACCAGATCACTGCTTGGTACAGAAAACAGCTGTAGAGTGGCAATTCACTCTGCTGCGCAACTCAGCTGAGAAGATAAAGTGCAGGGGCAGGCAGGCCCACTTGCTAGTGGGAACAAACTGGTTGAGTTGATCTTCGGAGCTACCGGATTACCCGAACCGGTCCAAACCGTAGAATCCCACCCCTGGGTTAGTTTTATTTTTGCTAAACACATTTCATGATTCACTATATTGCAATCTGAAAACAAGATTTAATCTAGCTAAATCTCATTAACAAAGCATTATTTAAAAACAATTATACTGTGAGACTATAAATATAAAAATGAATAAAAAACCATAGTACAATTCTCATTTACTGAATAATTTAACTATTTCTTAATGGAAATATGATCTTTCAAATTCTGGGCTGGATCCAGATCTATTAAGATATTCAAATTAAAGAAATAGGACTAATCTAAAATCCATCAGTTTTAATGTACTGGATAGATTGTCAAGTTTATTAATGAAGTGCATAATTAATTTTTGAATTGTTTCTGTTGATAGTCATTTGGTCTGTTATAGACACAGTTTCGTGAATTGTGATTCAACTAGAATTTGTTAGAAAATTGTATAACAGATGTAATTTCTACATTACTAACAGCAAACAATTTAAAAAATAATAATATTTTTTTTTTAAATATACAGTTTAGAATATGATCATACTTTTTCGTCTCTACATAATCCTGGAAATAGTCAATATGTGTATTAATATAAAGTTGTTTCAATAAAGCACAAATAAATTTATATGGAATTGTTTTTAATGTATGTGGCAAATGTCCAGAAGTAAATATAAATATATATATATTCATATAACACTCTCTTTCTTTATAAATAAATTTTTGCACTGTCACATATTTCTCCTGCCATTTAAAAAACATATAAAGTGTGGAAGAATATTATTAAAATGACAGTTGTTTTTTGACATGACCAAAATAAAAAGATGCTCACTTGTCAGTATACTGATATCCTACTGATAACTATTTTATTTATTCACTAAAATATATTTATTTAAAAGATATATATCTTTATTTCTCAAATTAACAGTGAAATTCTTTCTTTTCATGTTTGAAGTGAACATTTTTACTAATGCATTTGAAAATCAGCCTAGTCTCATATGTGCTTATTCAAACTATGTCCCATTGATTTTAATGGGACTTACCCTTAGATAAGCATGCATTGCACTTTATTCTCCCTTCCATTAATAGCAGTTTCTGGATTTCAAGTTAATAATTCATACCTCTTTTCTTTCATTATTGGCCTCTCCATTCCCAGATGATTCTAAAAAAGGTTTGGAGGTGACTAATACTTGATTGAGAATTTGGTCCAAATCTTTCAGTATAATTTTTGTCTCTCTTACAACTAAAAACATGCAACAATATTTACAATTAAAATATACAATTATATTACCACAATTCTATTGATTGCTTAATTTAATTCAACTACATTAACAGGCATTAACTGGAAATAGCAATCATTACAATTGTTTGTGTTTCATATGTTAACTTACTAATAAATTAAATAAAATGAATTTTAAAAATTATTCTACTGATAATAATAATATGTAATTTCAAATGAATTTCTAAAAATTATTACAGGATAGTTTCCAAGTTTAATTGAGTGGAAACGTACACAAAGCTTTTGCTGTGTTTCAGCATAACAGATACAGTCCCTTTGTTGACCTTAATAGGGACACTAAAGTGACAGGTCAAGGTAATTGTGATAATGCAGATTATGCAAATAAGCAGAGGATTGTGGTCTGAAATGGAAAGTGTGAATCAGATATTGCACATCAGTCACACAAGAAGAGCAAGGTATCCAAAAAGAGAACCCACCTTCTGATTGGTGATTCAATTGTAAGGGATGTAGATTTAGGAAAGGATATGAAGGTTTTGAAAGAGGTCAGGTGTCTGCTAGATGCTACTACCAGTAGAGACAAGAGGCGTATTCTTAAGATAGTCAAGAATGCAAATAAGGACTGTGAAGTTGACGCTATTACACACAGATTTTCTGGATAAACATTTAAACTGAACAGCGGGAATTGATACAGAACATTTCTGTCCCCAGCAATCTAAAATTCATAGGGTTATCAGTGCATATAACACAGATGTTTCTGCGGGTAAGATTTAAGTCCTGCTGTCAGGCAATACCAAGCATATACCAAGCATTTAATAGTGAGTGCCATACCATGTGCACAAATCTTACAAGTGGCCAGAAAATACGGGCAGTCAGGCATAA